GTTTCATACCGTCTGAATCTGAAGTGCAATGTTTGTTTACAGGCCTGCTCTTAGCGCTCCGAGCGACCCAAGGTGTAATGTGTATTGATGGCCAAGACCGTTAATATAGATGTGCACCTTGATGACTCTTGGGGTGCGCTCGATTCGCAAGCTTCAACAGTTAGTTTTTAAGTATCTTGGTATCCTAGAAAACATTTAAGTGCAAGGGGAAAAGTATGACATGTTATCTCTCTTTCACTAACAAGTTACATATTGAGGGTATTCCAAAAGGCTTGGCGCACGGGCGCCCGTGGGTGCATACTTTTATGGCGTTCCAAAAGCTAAAATTGCGTGCACCTGAACTTCTCTAACTTACAAAAGGATACACATTTTGAAGAGAGCTTCATAAGACCAATATGCATATAAATCTTACTAATATATGAAGCAAAGTCGCTAAATCCGTTGTAATTGCTAACCGCCAAAACTACTGAACCGATTTTACTGAAATTTTGCATACCGATTCTTGACACTTCCTACATGGTTTTAGTATAGTTTTTATATTGAAAAATTTTTAATAATAGCAATAAATAAGCTCAAAGTTTTGCTGAAATACGCCAGCTTTTTACTTTAGTTCAGTAGGATCCACTAGGCGGCGCCGACTTAAAATCCAAGCTACCTGCAACAGAATTCAATAAGTGTGGTTATAATAGGCTGGAATGTCTCGAAAATATTTGCTGTTTTATTTACCGGCAGTTCGTTGAGCTGCATTAAGAATGTAGATGATAGTCGTGCATTTGGGCATTCCGGTTACCGTCGACACTCTTCTCCAATAGACAAGTGACCTAGGTCAACTTTCACCCTGAACCTCCAGGAATGACGAGTGCGACCAATAGATAATTATTCAAACCGATAACGTCCCTGGCGAAATACCAAGAGACATGTCTAGCCAGAGCACAACACATCAGAGTTGTGTGACCGTCACCATCCGGTCTGGTGCTGTCAGAGAATTTTTTACTACAAACGTAAGCTAGGAAAAACGGCCCTGAGGAGCACGGGTAGCTACAATGGCTTCCATTTTAGTGGCTTTGTCTCAACGGCTTACCTACAGAGAAGGTATATATATATTCTCCATGCCCACTTTCTTGACTAACGATGAACGGTTAGTTAACCGCGGGGAACGATCTGAAGGCGAGATATTCTTTGGTCAGCGTCGTACCTCTCTCCTGTACGGTCTCCGTACACATACACACAGAGACTTAAAGGGTACGAGTCAAGCTACTCGTAGCCAGCTCTTCTTCATCAAAAAAAATAATAAGGAATAGCTGAAAGCTTCCCCACTGGCCCTATTAAGAGCCATCATAAGTATGTACGTTCCCTACTTAACAATCAATTTCAACAGTTGTTTTAAGGGCCACTTAAGTTTGAGCCACCTTGTCAACAAATACATTTTTACTACCATTTCCGGAAGCGATTCGTCGACTAAAAGACTATGTTGACTAAAGACGGCCACTATCAAATCAAGTCAGTCATTCACTGGCAGTCGTCACGAGTGAAGTTGCTCTTCACAATGCTGGGAACCTCAGTGACCGACGATCCTACATTATATTACTCTTTATATAAGCATTCAACCAGGAATCACCTATCCTCTCCAAGGTCCGCGCTGGGTTAACCTAACAGCAATAAAGGGAAATAAAACTTGAGCCAACAGGACAGTCTTCAACGGGCAAGCGACACGAACCAATCTCCTTATCTTAGATCAGCAAAACAACTGAGTCTGTAAAAAAAAGGTGCTTTAGACCCCAAAGTCTTCGACATTATACCAGGAGACGTTGGGAACGATCTTTACAACTAGCTCCAAAGCTTCGGACTTTGTAATTTTTCTTCCGATTAGTGTGGAGCTTCAACAGCAGGCCAGAGAAGATCACCCTGAGGTATCCGGTTAGTCACAACTTCTGTAAACTTCAGTCATGAAAGATTTTAATTAAGAGGCTCATCAATCTTTTTTAGGGCCATCGGACGTCGAACTATACCTTGCCAACAAATATATTTAGTAAAGTTAATAGAAAACAGCCTGTAGGGGTCACCAAAGTCTGAAGTATGCCAAAAATCTCAAGAGGGTGGATTGGAGAGAAAACTTGAAATGTATCTAATGAATTCAATTTTAGGCGTCAAGAAACTGACGCAGAAAATTTATCGAGATCAAACAGCAGCGTCTAAATCGAGAAATAAAGAATCCATTACGTGAGAGATCAGCTTTTCATTGTACCCTCACAGTAACCTCTTAAATCATTCAGCTTTTTAAATAAGTAGAAAATGTAATTGTATTTTTGTGGCGATAAAAAATGTAGAGATTTAGCTCCGGGACTTTGTTGCTCTGATAATTAATTTGTGAGATAAGGGAAAAAAAAAATTTTTTCAATACATATTTTTTGGGAGTTTTAAATCTTAACAGCTTAAAAAAATAGCCCTTTTCGTTAATTATACGGAAGAAACTGCAAATCAACGGCCCCTAATGGCCAACGATTATTTTATGGCATAAGGAACGAATGGTACTTTTCAGCGAAATTATATTTTTTTTTAATTTTCAAAGCTTATTATTTGACCAAATGAACTGTATGGATTCCGAACAAATGTGTTTTTAATAAGAAGATTTTTGTTTGAATAAGTGTCAGGAATATACGTAAAATTTCTAACTGAAAACGTTTCATGTTACACGTTAACACACTAAGGTGTTCCATTTAGTAAATCTCGGGCGAAGCCGAGACGGGGGGCCACTAGTAGGTATTGCATGTATTGTATATGTATTAGGTGTTGTACAGTGGAGGCCGTTCAATTCGTTGAGCGGGAAGCATAAAATTCACCAATGAAAGAGGTTATGTGATCGAATCTTCCAATGAGAATTGAATGTTTGAATTTCCCGTTCAACGAATTAAACGGCCTCCTCTGTCCTTACATGGGTTATTTAAATTAAATTAAAGTTTTTTGTTTATAAAGGATCCTCCACATTAATCATATCAGACTTATCACACAAGTCACCTAAAATTTACTCAGCCGATAATAAATCTGCACTTTAAGCGCGCGCCTGCGATTCTTAGCTTTTGGAATGCTCTCATTATCTTAATACTTAGATTAAACAGCCAGTGCTTACGGAACGCATCTTTGGGTCGCTCGGAGCGCTCGGAGCACTTGAATCGAACAAATCTATTAGCTATGTCATTTGCGCAGCACCTCTATTCGTCTACATGGAAACGATGCACTTAAGCCGTAGGCGACGTAGGACCGTCCACGGTATAAGATGTACAGGGTACAGGTGGTCCCATGTAGGTACAATTATTGTAAAATTTTTGTGCTGTTTCATTCAAGATCCAGCCGATGATGAAATGTGAAACAATAAGGACTGTTATGTAATTATACGACTAGAGTTAGCGAAGACTATATACAGTTATACCACTCGTGCTGACGAACACTAGTATAATACTATAAGAAAAAGTAATAGCGTGTCGTTTGTTTGAAAAAAAATTGATACATCACGAACCACTTCAATAACTTTGCTCCATGATGTATATAGACGGTCGTAATTTTTTGGTACGCTTAATAATGTTGAGACACTTCCACATAATAAATTTATATTTAAATCAATTAACACAATTTTTGATATAATTCTACAATTACATTTATTGTTTTTACTTTTCCATTTCAGTGTTTACTGACTTCAGGTGCCCCTCTGCTCCGTTCTAGTTTCCTATTGCGACAACTGGTGCGAGAAAGCGGAAATGATACGAAATGCTCACGAAAGTTTACTGTAGCATGGCAGGAATTTTATCAATAATCAAAGCGTTCAGTAAGTGCCTCGAATTGTGTGTGGATTGGCGCTTGCACTGTTAATTAATAAATTTTATTATTCATTCAAACTCATAAGGCTGCTTATTGGCCCATTGGGTTATTGGGTTTAATAGATTGGGATTAGTTTATTAAGTTATTATGCATGAAATTGTGTCAAGTTATCTGGGGAATTGCGTCCTGCTTCATATAGCCAATTTGAATTTGCCGCAAATTTGCCAGTCACATTTGGGGAGAACCACTGGCTTTCTCTCTCCTCCTATTCAGCTTTTGCATTTTTCTCACTAGGATATGTAGCTATATGTAGGTCCTAGTGACAAAAATGCAAAATCATATCCACCGCGCCAAACGCTGGGGTATATCGCAAAGCGAATGGCGCGATCGTGCCTTTGTGGAAATGGCGTCATTCACGCGTAACAGTATACTTATATATATACAACTCTCAATTATGTGCCGATACAAATGCTATATATAAGTGACTTGTATGTATACTGTTACACACTCTATTGAAAAAAACTATGTGGATTTATCATATGGTAAAATAATTTGAAAAACCATGCCGTGACACCTTATACAGTTGCGATACTCGGCCTAAAAAAGCGCACCAATTAAGTTTTCGACTCCGTATATGCCTTGTACAGTTAAGTACATCCTACCAAAAACATGGCTGCCATGCGCGCAATACAATTATTTTAATTTTTTTATTGTGTACATTGTGGTGTTGAAAAGAGAAAGAGCGTTTGTTGCGAATTCTTAAAATTTTTAGTTATAAGAATAGAAAATGACTAACGAGCTTTGTGTAGATTTTCCGTAACAAGTATTTTGAAGCGACTCAAAAGTCTACTGTGTTTTAAATGTTTCGGGGAAGTGACCAAATTATCCTACCAACCATAGACATATAAAAAATAGACTGCTCGTTCTTATGTACGGTGCTGAAGCACAAGTAGAAGAAGACACAACATCGAACGTGGATATCTGTCTCTCTGGCACACAATCAAAGGTGGGAATGGGAAAGAGAGATAGATACCCATGTTCGATGTTGTGTCTTCTTCTACTTGTGCTTTAGCGCCGTACACACGAACGAGCAGTCTATGTGTCTATGCATACATTATTGTGAATGAGGTATAGGTAGTGTGAGTAATATATTATACATAGATGTATTAGATGTACAGTTTTTAAAGAAAGTCCTGAACATGGCGGCTCATCTGCCACACTGCACCTGTATCCTGTATGTTTTTCTGTAAATCGTACACAGTGACTCGGAAAAGTCGGTGACAAACCTTTTATTCAATCCGTTCTCGGAGGCTTCCAGTCTCCCTGAGAATGAGGTTTATAAACCTTGTATTGTCATAATATTTATTTTGGGCACAAACCTTAGTACTTTTCCATCCGACAATACATAAAAAATACTGTGCCTCAAAATAAGGATTCTTTTCTAAAAACATTAATTTGTTTCACGTTACAGATTGAGAAATACATCACCTCATCTAAATCATACGAGTATTTAATTAACAAAGATGAGACAGAGGAAAAAAAATTTATATGAAAATCGAGGGTTACCAGACAATTACACAGATGACTCTTTTTTAGCTGACATGGGCAAAAACATTAAACCTAATACAGCAACTTTTAATCAAGCAATCACTCTTGCTGCAAGTATTTTAATACAGCTAAGTATTGTTATTCTGTTTGTTATTGTGTTTATTTGGATAAATAATAAATGGACAACACCAAACGTTATATTTTCTATAAGCATATCTTTGACAGTTATTGGCTATATAAAGTATGTTAACAAAACGCTCATAATATTTAAAAGAATATCAAAAGATTTACGAACAGTTCTTATTTTTCTAGCTTTTGGATACATTTTATCACCAGTCTTGAAAACTTCGACTGAAACCATTAGTACTGATACAATCTACACAATGACAATCTTCATGTTTTTTATTCATTTAATTTTCAGTCAATACAGCCCAACAAATGTTTCTCTTTCGGAGTCTCTATCAATTACATCTTCTATTTTTGGGTCATTAATGTTAACTTCAAGATTATCAACACCTTTACATGCATTTTCCTTGCTTACTGTGGCAGTCCAATGTTTTGTTCTATTGCCCTTTTTATTGTCTAAATTAAATAGTAAAATTTATTTTTCGATAATTCTAGAACTTTCAACGTTATACTTTCTTAAAAATATATCAATAAATTTCTCACTTGTTTTTGTTGCTATTTCAGTGTTTGTTCATTTTGTATGTCCAGTTTTATACATAAAATGGCAAAGATATAAAGAAAACATATACGGCCCCTGGGATGAAGCAATAGTCGATCCATAACAAAAGATACATATTTGTACTGATCTGTAAATATCTTGATTTTGTATTAATTAAGTAACGAACAGTCACAAATGTCAAAAGTTTTAATAAATAGATTTGGATCCAACAGTTACTTTTTTTTAGTTTTATTTTATCTAGTTGAAACTGACTGAAGCATATAAAATTGTAGTATTTTTTTTGCTGGCTCGGTTCTATTTCCACCAAATCCACATAAATACGTGCGGAAATTATACAGTACTGATAGCACACGGAGTGGGGTGTGGATAGTATATCATTATTTACATGGATACAGCTCTGCTCATACCCACGTATTTACATGGATTTGGTGCGAGTAGATGAGATATTTTTTCCATTTGTTCCTAGAAGCATATGGATAAATGGTATGTAAGGCTGCGTATACACGCTGAGGAAATTTACGCGACGGAACTCTTGCGTCGGTACATCAGAGCAATTGCCTTACCAACGATTATTTTTCCGCTCTGCAACAAATTTTCTGGTACTGTTGGGGTAATTTCTGCTACGGAATTGATCACTTACATAACCTATAAATACTGAACTAGTGTGGTCTTGATATTTAATTGTTTATAACTATCACACAACCAGTGACTCGACTCTTTTCAACAAAATTTCTTAGATTGTATGCATCAAAGAGTCTCTTTGAAAATGTGAGTGCATTGAACTCTTGTACATTTTGATTTGTTTTAGTATGCACAATTGCAATACCATTTTTTAAGTCATTTTAGCTTTTTCAGTTGCACAGTTGCGTGATACAGATATATAAAATATATGCAGACGACGATATTTCTGCGCAAAATTACGAAGTCAAGGCAGTGAAAGGCACCCCTTGTTTACATAGAGCGGAAAATTCGCGACGGAAACTTCATGATCCAATCAGCGTGGAGCTTTAGAAGAATCTATTGGAAAAGCTGTGCTCTGATAGGTGTATGAAGTGTATGAAGTTTCCGTCGCAGAATTTTCCGCTCCATGTAAACGAGGAGTCCTTCACCGTGCAGAACAGAAATAATTGTTGGTAAGAGATTTGCACTAATGTACCGACGCCAGAGTTTCGTCGCGTTAATTTCCGCAGCGTGTATATATATACGCAGCCTAAGAATATTAGAATAAATTGATCGAGTTTTAACGATGGGTAAGTATTCATGCGAGTATTTGAATTTATCGACATTTCCCATCCATTACGAGATTACCAAGACAACTCGATTTTTTTTCAGTGAAAACTAAAATTTGTAGAAAAATTTTCATACGTAGTCGTTAAAAAAGATTGCCACCTCGACCAGGATTTGAACCTGGAACTCTTTTCTTGCTGGGAAGGTGCGTTACCATTTTCGCCATCGAGGTCTCGGCGACTCCCCTTCTCAATTGCTATGTTTTATGATTTCGACGATTTTTCAGTCGATGCCTGCTCATATGGTATATAAAATATTAGAAATTAATCTAACTTCATCGATGGGTAAGTATCAATGCGAGTAATTGAATTTATCGACATTTCCCATTCATTATGAGATTGCCAAGGCAACTAGATTTTTTCAGTTTAAATATGGATAAAATTGCTACGATTCTCAGTTAAAAATTTATAGCTATAATTATACCTATAAATTATAGCTATAATTATAGCTATAACTACCTATAAAACAGCTATAATAATGTATAAAATTCAGCTATAAATATAGCTATAAATTACAGCTGTAAT